TACAGGCACCCGCCACAATGCCTGGCTATTTTTTTGTTGCAGTTTGGCCGGTGGATGGGTTCAAACCCGCCACCCTCAGTATATGGGGTTGGCGTCCTATTCTCTGAGCCCCATCTCTGGAGCTGCCCCAGATAAGCCATTTTCACAGGTTAATTGTGCTTAATTTTTTTTAATTTAGTTTTTCTTGCCATAGTATATTCGATTTATGGCAGCTAATTCAAATTCTGTTTTTTTTTTTCTTTATATACTACTTTGACATAAGCATTTGTGGTTTGGGTAAATTATTTAAATACAAGGCTTTCCTTTGAAATGAATAACCATAACATTGATTTACCCTCCCTTCATTCCTTCCTTTCAAGCTCTAACATACTTGAAGGGGAAATAATTGTAGCATTTGTCAACTAAATGCCAGACAGTGTCTTCCTTGTAGGAGCTGACCATTACCTGGATCTGTAGTGGCCGTCCCCAAAGCCAAACAGGTGTGCACTGTAGTAATTCATCAAATGGATGTAAACTCATAAATTTAGTTGACTGAGGTTTTCGGTGAGTGTGGCTTCCAGTTTGCGTGCTTTCCCTGTCAACAAATAGCGTCAAGGCATCGAGTCACTGTGACTTCCCTGGCGGTGTTGTAATTGTGATCCACCCTGCGGTGACTCACGGACCAGCCTTCAGGTGTGCGCTGCGCAGCGTCTACCGGAGCAGCAGCTGCATTTATTTATTTATTTAGGGGGACGGATCCATTCCAGCGTCTGGGATGGGGGAGCGGCTGCGACGAGGATGCTCGGGTGTCTGCACCGGCTCCTGGGCTCCCCGGGGACGCCTGCTCGCTTTCCCTGGAGCCCGGGCTCGCTTGCTGGCAGACCCCGGCCCGGGAGGCGCTGCGGGAATGTCTGCGGGGGACCTGGGGTGTCCACGTGGGAAGGGGCCCTGTTGCCCTTCTCCTACCAGCTGGACCCTGGAAGGGTCCACAAAGGTGTCGGGTTCAAGTTCTCCAGTAGGCCAATTTTCTAAAAGTGCTTTTAAGTTTCCGGGTCCCTCCTCCTCCCCCACGGGAGGAGAGGATACGAAGAGGTTTTTCTATTCAAATTCTTTTCCTTGTATGTAGATAGCAAAAGGAAACTCCACACTGGGCATGTTCGGATGTGAATGGGTTTGCAGATAAGCAACAGCCTCCCGGAACCGGAGACTTAAAATAGTCACCTCCCCACCCCCCGCAGGAGCTGCGAATGGTATCTGCCAAACAGATGACAAAGTACCTTGGACTGAATCACACACAGACAGCATTTTGAGCAGAACGCACGGCTAAACTCTTGTAATGACTGTTTTTGGCTGGCCGGGGCTGACGAGGGGAGAGCAAACACAGAGGAAATAAGTTTTCTGAACCTTTTGAGAGGTGGCTGTGTATTAATTAAAGGCGAGGGCAAGACGGCTACTTCTCAGACACTCTCCAAGTTCGTGAGCTCACAGTTCACATCACATTTCCTCTGGAGGGAGTAGATAATTGGGACCTTTCTTTCTTTTTCTTTTTCTTTTTTTTTTTCTCTCCCCCCCCCCCATTTTGGTCCTATGGCCTTGAACCCACAGTGAATTGAAGAGAGAAAGAAATGGATATGTCTGACCCCAATTTTTGGACTGTGCTTTCAAACTTTACTTTGCCTCATTTGAGGAGTGGGAACAGGCTTCGGCGAACACAAAGGTAAAAACGCGGGGATCCTTTGCCTGGAGAGGGAATGCTTCTGCTCCCAGGGGCCACCAGGCTGAGCTGCCTAAGCCCCTAGCAGCTGCCGTTTTGTTTATTAGGTGACAGTTTGAAAAGTTTATACGGTTCTGGAGGGGCATTGTTTCAGGTGTTCCTTAGTCCTCGATGTTTCCTGGGTAATTCTGATAAATGTGCTTGTCTGAGCTTTTGCCTTTTGAAATGTAAATAATGAGAGATTTCCTTGTGAGAGGTGGGGAGGGAATAAAGGGAATGGGGAGGACATGCTTTGTGGCAGTCTGTCACGTTGATCTGATCTTGTTTATCCATTTCATTCACCCAGATACTGGGGCTTCTGGTACTTTTTGTTAAGCCCTTCCGATGCTCCTCTCCTTTAAATATTTGACCTTTACACGATGCAGATGTATGATGCAAAGATAGCCCAAGCTAGCCTGTTTCGTATTGTCTGCTTAGAGGCAGATCTGCATAACTTTGCCATTTTGATTTTTCACTGGTTTGCTGGCATTTATTACTGATACAGGACTGGCCTTTTCATTTTGTGACATGCATTTGACAGATTTAGATGGGTGGGGGGCAGAGTGGATTTTAAAGCCAGGACGAAGCTCATGCTACAGGTGAAGGCAGTTCAGAGTTAGTTTGCAGACACTTTGTTGAGAGACCAATTTGAAGGAGGCATTTCTCCTCTCTCCACATTTGTGTCCAGCAGAGAAAAGTTGCATTGTTGTGGTTTTAGAGGGGCGTACCCTCCAAGTGCTGTAAATACAGATTCTTTGTTTTTCTTCAAAACTTGCTTTGTACTTACACGTGAACATACACGAGAGCAGTGGTGCGATCAGATCAACAGGATGCAGCCACCAGATATGGAGCTTCATAATCTCTCGGCTCCAGTGTTCAAAGAATACAAGAAAACGTTTCTGTCTGTTTGGTTGTACCTGTAACTTTTTGTAGTATATGTAAGGTAAATGCAAATATGTAATACTTTGAAAAACTCAGTAGTTTTTCCTTTTAAAAAATATTTATTTATTTATTTAGAGACAGTCTTGCTCTGTTGCCTAAGCTGGAGTGTAGTGGCTTGTAGCTGCTGCAACCTCTCAAACTCCTGGGCTCAAGTGATCCTCCTGCCTCAGCCTCCGGCCACCACCCCCAGATAATTTCTCTATTTTTTATAGAGATGTTTCAATATGTTGCTCAGGCTGATCTCAAACTTCTGTCCTCAGCCTCCCAAAGTGCTAGGATTACAGGCATGCACCACCACAGTTGGCTGTTTTTTCAGATTTTGAGTGGTATTTTTTACATTGCAGAAGGATCTTGGAATACTCTCACATACACTGTACACACACATAGGCATATTCACAGGTCATATGCACACCTGTGTGTGTGAATGAGAGACATCTGGCAGATTTTAAAGTCATACTTTTTGATGCAATTTGAACAATTTCAATACCACTAAACCATGTTGGATTCTAACCTTCTACCTTTTAAATGATGTGGCTGTGCTTTTACTGTTCTGCCATATAATATATTCATCACGACCCTCTCTTTTGAGATTGCTCATTTTGGTTCAAGCTATGTCATCTGTGTACCAAACCACCAAAACAGCTTACAAAGTTGGAGAGAGATACACGCTAGACATGAACTGGACCACTCCTCCTTGTGGAAGTAAATCTTACAACTTTTTGCCTTTTCAGTTCAACCAGAAAGTTTAAATCAATGGTTCTCAACCTTCCTAATGCCGCGACCCTGTAATACAGTTCCTCATGTTGTGGTGACCCCCAATCATAAAATTATTTTCGTTGCTACTTCATAACTGTAATTTTGCTACTATTATGAATCGTAATGTAAATATCTAATATGCAGGATGGTCTTAGGCGACCCCTGTGAAAGGGTGGTTTGACCCACAGGTTGAGACCACTGGTTTAAATGTTTCTAAGTGGTGTAGTCCTGGCTGTGCAGCCTCTACTCTTAGTTTGGAGCTGGTTCTTAGGAAAGTCTGCTCTGGCAGGGCAGTATTGATCCAGCCCAAACGCTCCAATCCAGAGAACTCACGGTGTCAGAGCACCTGGGTTCTAAAGTGACCTGAGTCCTTCCCAGCAAAATGGGAGTGCATGGGAAAGCTGTTTCCATTCTTCAAGTCATAGACTTATAACTTCAGTTTGGCAAAACAGAGGGGAAAGTAGATTTTCTCCCTTCCCTTCAAGAGTAAAGGTTATCACAGTCTGTTCCTGAAGAATAAGCATCCTGGAGAGTCTCTCCGCTATCTTCCGGTCATTGTTCATCTCCAAGAATGAGCACTGCTTTTTGGTTACTACGAAGAAGAGCAGGTGCGCTCCTCTGCCGGGCAGTGTTTGTGGCTGTTGCCTCTTATTATTATACAGTGATCAGTGTCGGCTCTGTGTCCTTCCCTAAGGCCATGAAGCATATGCTTACCTTGTGACACTTTCCCTTCGGGGATACACCTTAACTGCTCTAAATCCAATGTTCTTGTCCAAGTCTAACCTCATCCCTTACCTAGCTGATGAGGTTCCCTAGAAAATTTCTCCTTTCCAAAGTTCCTCTCCATTCCCAAGTTGTAGTATTTTTTCTTAGGTCTGATGATGGTGTCCCCTGTGTCCATCCAGGTGAGCATACCTCGCCTTCGCCCTCAGTAAGACATGTCCCAGCCCTTGGAATAGCTCTGTGGGCACACCTCGCTTCTTCACTGCACACTTGCTGACCTGTCGGACAGATTGTTCATTTCAAATATTTTATCCCACCTATTTTTTCTGATTAACACTGTGATCCAGAGGACTTCATAGTAACCTTTTCTTCAGTATTAGTGTCATGCTTCTCTCGAAGGAATTCAGCTTTGAGCCCATGAATGAGCATCTTAGTATCATAAAGATGGGACATTCATGCCCCTTAAGTAAGGGAGGTGGAGTGGTTTCAGACTCTCACTTTAAACCTTTATTGTAGTAGACATTGTCATCACAGAAGCTTTTTGGTCTGCTCCATCATTTCTGCCTTGCTAGCGTGGTGCTGGTTTGCTAGTTTAACCTCTCACAGAAAACTTTCTAGGCTTCTCTGTTTACCCAGAGCCCAACCTGTGCCTCTAACTCCTACAGTTTGGAGGGGGGAAAAAAGAGTGCAGCCTTGCCGTCAGGTGTAGACGTTCTGTCCCTGTGCAGTGGTCCTAAGATGGCACATCATGCCCTTCGGTGTTTGCCGTCTTGCCTGTGGCAGATGCTGAGTTGTGTGGATGCACACCGGCTTTTGTCTGCTCCTTTGCTGTAAAGCTCACATGTTCCATCAGAAATGGTTCTCTTTTCGTCAATGGCTCTGCCCTGCTCTTTGCTTCCCTTGTTTATTCTTCAAGGCAGACTCAGTACAGTCTTTTGCCCAATGCTTTGAGGGAAAGAAATTTAGCCTGCATGGACAGACTTTGACCAAAATTTGTTGTTTTAGGCTGATGTAGCAATTTCATGTTTTAGAGACTTTAAATTTCACGAATCTGGAGGTATTCCATTCACTGAGGACCCCTCACAACTCAGAATGGTAACGAGTTGGCCCCAGTTTTCATCACTGCTGGTCTTCATGGGTTCTCTTCTCATTGGCTTCAAAACTTTTTGGGGAATAGGATGAAGCTTTCTCTTTCTCTGATGTATCATGGTTAGTAAAAGGCTACAATTGATTTCTAAATGTGGCTGCTAAGTTTGGAGGTGGGCGAAATTTAATTTTGCTATGCTGCAGTCTTGAGAATCTGGAAGCAGCTTGGTTTTAACCTTAATGTTCAGAAATCTGTCATGTTTTCTTTTAGCTGCCAATGGGCAGTTTGCAACTCAGATTATCACTTTTCTTTTTTTCTTTTGAGAAAGAATCTTTCTTTGTTGGCCTTGGTAGAGTGCCCTGGCATCGTAGCTCACAGCAACTTCAAACTCTTGGGCTCAGGCAATCCTCCTCCCTCAGCCTCCTGAGTAGCTGAGACTACAGGCACTCGCTACAATGGCTAGCTATTTTTAGAGATGGGGTTTTGCTTTTGCTCAGGCTGGTCTTAAACTCCTAAGCTCAGGCAGTCCCCCTGCTCTGGCCTCCCAGAGTGCTAGAATTGCAGCTGTGAGCCACTGAACCTAGCCTTCAGTTTCCAAGTACATTTTTCTGAGAACCCATGGGATAAAAGAAGTTTGGGTTTTTTTTATTTTGGTTTTTTCTGTGTTGTTTTTTTGCCAAGTTCACATTACTCAGCAGTTGCTATGAACAGCAGGTACCTTCAGGGATCTTAAGCTAACTGCTGTAGTTGTCAGGATGTATTGAATTTTTTATGCACACGGCATCTTCTCTTCAGAAACATCTGTAGTGTTTGAGTTTTTGTTTTGCTCGTGAGTGTATGTCAAGGTTGTATGTCACGAATATATGACAAGTATAGAGAATAGTCTTCTCTCCTGCCATTCTAGGTGCTAATAAACTTGTACTCCCCCTTTTTACCCAAATCCTAGTTAAATTCCTATTTATTAAGCACCTTTTGTGTACCTGAGCACTGCGACCCAAAGCTGGAAGCCATAAGCATGCCTTCAGTGAAGAGAAGCAAATGGATTATTGCTAACCAGGGCAATAGAGAAGTGTTTACAAGGTGCCCATGAGCATAGGAGTGGCCAGTGAGTCAGTGGTCAGTGTAAAGGAGCCACATAGGAAAGGCAACACCTTGGGTGGTTTTGAAAGATAGGCTGGTGTTTATCAACAGAAGGACAGCGCCTTTCTCAAGTGCAGAAGAACTGGTGTGTACAAAGGCCTGATGGCGTTGGTAACACAGAGTTCCAGGAACTGTACATAGCTCAGTATTGCTGGAGCATAAAGAGCAAAACGTGTAACTCAGTATTGCTGAAGTAGAAAGTTTACAGAGGTGGTACTGTACAGTGGGTGAGAAGGTTGGCCTGAAGCCAGTTCACTTGTGTTCACATCTTCACTCTATGATATTGGGTAACTTAACTTCTTTTTCTTTCTTTAAT